CCTCTCAACCTTCTCTTGCGGAGGCTGCAGAGGTCCAGATGCCCTAGTCTCTCCTCGTAGGGCTTGGCCTGTAAGCCCTTAACCATATGAGTGGCCCTTCTCTGGACCCTCTCCAGGTTATCCACATCCCTCTTGAAGTGTGGTGCCCAAAACTGCACACAGTACTCCAGCTGTGGTCTGACCAGCGCCCGATAGAGGGGGAGTATCACCTCCTTGGTTCTGTTTGTCATGCATCTGCTGGTGCACGATAAAGTGCAGTTAGCTTTGCTGATGACTTGTCAAACTGACGACTCATGTTCATCTTGGAGTCCACTAGGACTCCGAGATCCCTTTCCGCTTCCGTACAATCAGTCCTGAGTTTCTTAGTCGCACACCCAAATCACTTGTTTTAAAATATGAACCCTTGTGTTTTTACACATGGTTCTCTCAGGGTTTGGTGGTGTGTTTTCCTCTGAGAAATCATGTGGTCTTTTCTTTTCTTTACTGTGTCTTTCTACTCTGTCCTTTTGGCATTCTGATCCTTGGGTGTTTTGTTCATCAGGCTGAGCAGGTCTGTGGTCTTTTGATAGTGCTTGTAGAGGTCTCCACCCTGGGCCCCCTCCCTCTGGTGTTTCTGTGAACTGAGTCTCTGAAGCAGAGCTCTGAAGCACAGCTTCCTTCATATACAGACTACAAGTCTGAAAGAGGCCCCATACTTTAAAAACTTCTTAGCAAAAAGTTGCCCCCACATCCACACAGCCCAAACTAGGTGTTAACAGAGAGTATAAATGTGTGTTTCAAGGTCATGCTTGAGCCACACACAGTTTCAAAAGCTTGATTTCAGAAAATGAATGCCAAACACACACACACACACACATACACTCCCACCAACCCAGAACCAGAGTTTCAAAAGATTTATTTAAAAAAATAAATGTCTAAGCTAATGTCCACACACATGGTACAAGTCCAAAAGAGACCCTATGCTTTAAAAAGACCTTAGCAAAAAGTTGCCCCCACGTCCACACAGCTGAAATTGAATGTTAACGGACAGAAGCAGGCTCCATAGAGGTGGAATAGCACATGCTCCCAACACACACACACACACCCTATACATGTACACAGTTTCAAAAACTTGATTTTAAAAAATGTCCTGTTCACTGTAGGGTAAAGACACAAAGGTATACATTTGTTCTGATTTTATATTTTGAAAGAAGGGTTTATGTTTGGGGACAAACAGTTGCAGCTGCTGTTAGGACCTAATGTACGTCTATTAAAACAACCACAAACAACCCCTCTGTTTTTAAAATAATTTTTTACCTTGCTGTGGTAAAATTGGTTGTGGCAACTGGGGTTTCCCACTAGATAGGCCCTCTGTAATGAAGATCAAAAATACAAGAAGTTAGTGTGCTCAAACAAGAATGGCACGTGCATATATGTACAAAATAAAAATAAGAAATATATACGTGTCTCTGGTCTAAAGCAGAGATACCATCAGGAGAAAAGTGTTTTCATAAGGAAAATTAAAGTGAGACCCTCTATTTGTGGCTCTTCTATACCATCTCCGGATATGCTGATTCGTATTTGTTCAACTTATTTTCCAAATCCGAAGATGTCAGCTGCAGCTTGTTTTAAGTTCTGACTACTGCTGCAAAGGGCAGCTAGCCATTTAAGCTAATTTTTTTTGCTGGCTTATCTTATCTTTCTAATACACTCACCAGACTGATTCGCCACAACCGACAAGGACAGGCCAGCCCCCAACTATGAGAAAGCAGCAGTGAGAATGCTCTTTAAATGAGTCTTTATTTCCATTAAAATTTGTAAAAAAATTGCTGCTTTTGCTAATTTTATACTATATCCTGGCTAACTCTTGTCCTAAACAGAGTTTTATAATTTCTAATGCCAATTAAACATTCAATATAGAGCACTAGGCTAGGAACAGACATTCAAAAAGCCAGAGCCTGAATTGATTCATTTTGCAGGTTAGTCTAACCTGCCTATGTTGAACTGGTTTGTAACAGCACAAACATTCCCTCTGGACTGAGAAAATACAGGCACATGCCAGGAGTTGCAGGGTGGCAGAGCATGCCTCAGCTGCAGGGAAGCTGTGTTGGGGAGCACAGCCAGTCCGGGCTGACCTGGCCAGAGAGGGGTTTAATTCCCCCCTGCCCATCCCACTGGCAGGGACCCGAGCCAGCTCTGCCGGGTGCTCCCCGCTTGCTGCTGCAGTGCTGGGCCACCATGGCCCCTGAGGCAGAGGGGTCAGGAAGGAGGGTTATTCTTCCCTCTACTCCCACTGGCCCTGGGGACCGCAGCCAGGTCTGCCTGCCCCAACCGCAGGAATAAGCCCCCTCCTTTCCCCTCTGCCAGAGAGGGTGAGAATAACCCTGTCCCTGCTCTGCTTGCTGCCACCCCCGCCTCCCCAGGTGCCCTGCCAGCTGGCCTCTGGCCCCATCAGGTGGGGGCTGCCTAGGGACCAGGCTTCCTGGGTCAGCTCAGAGGTGCTGGCAGGCCCTGAGCTTGGCAGCTGCCACCACTGTGCCCCCTGGCCTGTGCAAAACCCGAGGCTGCAGCTGCACAAGAAGCTGTGGGCTGGCTGGGGCAGCGGGCTGTTCTGCCCCCCTCACCTCCAGTTGCTGCCGCCATGGCCATGCAGTGCCACTCTGGGGGGTGGGAAGCTTCTGCCCCAAACGTGGAGCTCTGGCTGCAGCTCCCAGATGCCTTGAAAGGTGGGAAGCACCTGGGTGAAAGGTTCCAGTGTGGTGGCTGCAGCCAGAGCTCCATGCATGGGCCAGAAGCCACTGGGCTGAAGCTCCCCACCCCACCCCTGCCACCTCCTGGAGTGGCTCAGGAGTGGCAGGCATGGGAGGGGGAGTAACCGCTGCAGATGAGGGGAAACAGACCCAGTCCAGCAGGGCTGTTTTTCTCCCCTTGCCTCCAGCTGCAGCTCCTGCCGGACGTGCAGCAGTGCTTGGAGCCGGGGGAGCTTCCTTCAGCCCAGCAGCTTCAACCTGTGGGTTGGGGAAAGCTGCTATGGACCACAGTGCCGGGGACGTGGGGCTTGGAGGTCTCTGGTGTAGTCTGCCACAGTTCTGCCCACCCCTCAGCGCAGCACCCCGGCAGGAAGGGGCTTTCACTCCCTGACACTATGACAGGGCCACTGCCCCCATCAAGGGCCTTACTCCCTCCCACTGCAGCAGCTGGGCATGGGTGCAGCCAGATGCTGGCAGGCAGGGCCCTGCAGGGAGGGGGCGGGCAGGGACAGAATTATTCCACTTCCCTCTGGCGCTGCACGGACGGGACATGAGGGGGCTTATTCTACCACTTGGCAGCAGCGGCAATGGTCAGGGCAGGCAGACCTGGCAACAGAAAAATTAAATTTCCATACCACCACTTGTATACATATAAAACATTAAAAAGGGTACCATATTAGCTGTGGCCTTAAAAAATAGGAGTGTATTTTTCCCTCTGATATGCTCATGCAAGCTTTATAATATCTCTGCAGCTTTATCTGTTAGGTTGAAACCAGTTATATGTTTTTGCTTGAGACTATTGAGTTTGCTGATGTGCTTTGATGAGCCATCTGTTGGTTATTTGATCTAGAGCCACTTATTCTTCAATATCAGAGTGGCTTTTGCCTGCATTAGTTAGAATGTGAATAAGCAGTCACATATAGAAAGAGATGATGGGCACACTGATTTTAGTGATCCTGTTTTCAAGTCAGTCGGGGTGGGGTGGGGAAGGAAGATAAGTTTTAATTAAGCTTGGCAAACCTGCTTACTCTGAGACTTCTGTAGCTGACCATGAAGCAAAAGCTTTTATGGGAGGGGGGCCTTCAGAAAGCTGTGAAGTTATTTATTATCCAGAAAAATGCAGTTTCTAGGTCATCAAGAGTATTTGTGCCTTTGGAGTAAATGTTCCAACATTTCAACTGAAAAAGTGACAGTACTTCAAAAATGCTGCAACAATTGATTGTAACATTTCCATGATGACTTGTTTCAGCATTGCCAAAAGTTTGATTTGTGAGGTCAAACAAAACATTTTGTTGGGACCAGAACTTAAAATGTTTTCATTTAATGATAAAAAACAAACCCAACACAAAAATGCTTGTTAAGCTAATGTAATCTTAGCTTAAGAAAGGCTCCAGCAACAGTATGTGTAGCAGTCAAATGCACCCTTGCAAGTACCTGTGGTAAGAATTAAAACTCCCTACTTTGGCATTTGTAATCTCGGGGAACAGTTTGAACTGGGCCTAGAAAGACTGTAATCCTCCTTTTCATAAGGCAAGTAGAATATAGATTTTTTGCTCTGTGTAACAGGACACTGGATATGGCCCCTGTTATGGTCTGGACTTGCCTGCTGGACCGGAGCCCTCCTGGATACTTACTGGGAAAAAAAATGTAGGAAAAGCAGAAGGGATGCCCATGGGAAGAGTCCTGCCATCACCAAGACAACAGAACCCCAGAGAGTCCCCATAAGGAAGAGATGGGCTGCAGTTTTGGTCAGCAACTGGAACTAACCAAGGTACCAAGACCAATGGTGAACACAAGACTTAGGTCCCTGATCATACCTAGTATGGTGGACTCTGGGTGCACCCAGGCTATGATAAAAGCTGAGTTGGTGCCCCCACGGCAGGGGGAAAAAGATACCATAGCTGGGATGGTATGCATGCATGGTGCTACTTATGCCTATCATAGGCAACAACTAAGGCTAGCAGTAATGGGCTAAACGGAAGAGGTAGCAGTGGGGTTGGCTCAGAAGTTACTATGTCCCATGCTTCTGGGGTATGATTGGCCTGATTTTCATGAGGTAATAGGTCCTGCCCTGGGTCAGAAGATGGCACATGATGGTGACACAACTAATAAAGGAACTCACAAGGAAGCTTGGCTGGGGAGAAGCCCAACCCTGAAACAGAGGGAGAACAGACAGAGGACCTTGATCTCTGTGATGTGGTTGGAGAGGGGCGGTTCTGGGATGAGCAAGCCAGGGAACCCACCTTTCACCATGCTTATGACTCTGGAATAGCAAACCAAGATGCAGAGGTCCTATGCCTGGAGCTGATGACTACCTCTCCACATTTTGAGGTAAGAGATGGCATTTTGTATCGTATAAAATGGGAGTGAATTGAAGGGATGTAGGTCACACAGGTACTAGTACCACAGAAATAAAGGTAGTCCTTTCTGCACCCTGCACATATGCTCTGATGGGGGAACATCTGGGTAGAGATAAAATGGAAGACTGTTTAAAACAGTGGGTATGCTGGCCTGGTATATGTAAGCAGGTAGAACACTTGGCAGAAGCCAAGTGTGCCCAGCATGTCATCTGACCACAGACACTGTCCTTCATACGGTACCATTAATACCTATGCTGATTGTCCAAAGGCCTTTTGACAGAATGGCTTTGGATGTTGTAGGGCCTTTTCTGAAAAGCACCATGGGTTATCAATTTGTGTTGGTTATTCTGCACTATGCCACTAGATATCCTGATGTGACTTCTCTGGGGTCAGTAACTGGACCCAGAATAGTGGAGGGATTAGTCAAATGGATATCTCAAGTGGGCATTCTCCAGGAACTTTTAACAGACCAAGGTACAACTGTTATGTCTGGTGTGCTGAAGGGTGTTTGTGAAATGCTAAAGATTAAGCAGTTGTGAACTTTCATATACCACCCACAGACATATGGCTTGGTGGAACTTTATAATCATACCCTAAAGAATATGATTAGGACGTGCATCCAGAGAGACCCTCGGAAATGGGAGATATGCCTGCCTCCCCTTTTGTTTGCCATATAGGAGGTCCCACAGGCCTCAATAGGATCCCCCCCATTTGAGCTGATATATGAGCACCGCCCTACAGGACTCTTAGATATAATATGTGAGGGATGGAGGGAGTTGGAACCAGTGGGTGTGCAAAGACCATGACAAAGTTATGATACCATTTAGAATGGGTGCAACAGCATGCCAGGGACAACCTGGAATGAAGTCAAGGAAGGCAGAAAGAACATTATGATAGGCAGACAAAGGAGCAGGGGTTCGATGTGGTGACCAGGTCTTGGTGCTCTTACCCGATAATACTAGTAAATTAGGTAGCAAGGCCCATTTAAGGTGGTCTGGAAAGTGGGTCCTGTAAATTATAAAGTCAAAAAACAAGGGTGTAAGAAAAGGGTGCAAGTATACCATATTAACTTGCTAAAAAATTGGCTGGAGCTAGAAAGGTGGCTGATGACTCCAACTCCTGTGGACCTTGAAATTGGACTGGTTAGGGGGAGATATAATATGAAGAGGGAAATCAACACCCCAGTTATTGGCGAGCAGCTTATGGAGGTTCAAAGGGGTCAAGTGTGACTGTTGATAAGAGATTTTGAAGATGTGTTTACTGACAAGGCAGGGAAGGCCCAAAGGATAGAATGCAGAATAGTGATGCCTCCAGGTTGTTTAGTGCAGGAGCACTGGAGGTGGATGCCGAGACATTTATATGGGCCAGTCAAAAATGAGTTAGAAGAGATAGCTAAGAAATTAATTATTGAAGAGTCTCACAGCCCATGGCAGAGTCTGTTAGTAATTGTTCCAAAGCCTGATGGGACCATAGAAGTATATATTGAGCCTAAAATGTATGAAATCTAAACCGACATCATTGATTATTGATAACATTTTACCTCCCTCCTTTCTTATTATTATAACATCAAGGCATGGCGGACAAAAGAAGAGGAGAACAATGGTGACCGAGTAAGAAGGTCAAACGTCATCAAGGGACAATCTGTTTACACGCTGGCACAGGTTAAAAATAATCACTTCTCTCATTCTTGCTCCTGCTTAAGGGAATTGTGATAATTCTGGGTCTGTTTTTCAAATGCAGACTTGTTTCACAGGGTGGGAAGGGGAGAGTTTCAAAATAGAAACTGGATAAAGCAGCAGAACACAGCCTTGGGTGCCTGTTCCAGGAGGTTGGTGGCAACCTACCAAAAGTTCAGCAGAGGCAGCCCTGGATCCTAGCTGATAATATAACGAGTGAAGAAGCGGAAGTTTTGCCGAGTTGCCCATTGAGCCTGGAAAAGGAGGTCTTTTTTACTAGGCGGAGGGCAGGAGAGAAGTAACCACAGTGCTGGAAGGAATGGAAAAGGTAGCGGGTGCGGTAGTGCTGGTGAACTCCTTCCTCCTCTGCAATGGTGAGTAACTTGGGTAGGTGAAGACAAAATGCGTATCAGTTTGAGTATATGGCCATGTTCCTAGCGCAAGGATTTAAACATACGCTGTAGGAAAGGGTGCCTTTTGTATGTCATTGGCATGTAACTGGCTTGGTTACACTTCAGATACAAAGGATGTAGAAAGAAGCAGCATTGCATCTCTAGAGGAAAATACAGTTGGTGTTACAGTTTATTCTGATCACCTCAGATAGAGCAAAGAGATGTTTTTGAAACTGTAACAAGCCGCACAGTATGGAGCAGCTGGTCAGAGATAATGTAATCCATTGGAACAAAACTAGACCATTCAGCCTACTTGGGGAATTTATGCTCTGGCGTTTTGGTGTCCAATTCCATGTTTATTCCAATGCTGGAATATGTTCATTCTTTTGGATTTTAGCCATTTTTCAGAAATGTGGGGATGCACAGTTGTAACTGCAGTGCTAGTTACAACCATTCACATAACTTGTAGTGGGCCAGATTCTGATTTCTTTAATTCTAATTATATTCCATTTATTATGAGTTGTTCTATGAGCTGCCCATTGCAACATATTCACTTGTCTAGGTCAAAGGATAAGTTATCTACAACTCATTTCTTTGAGTCATTAATTCAACTGGAAATTCCCTTTTGCTGATTGACTACCAAATCTTGAAGATCCATATAACTAAAAATAATTTTAACAGACACTTTGTTAAATATATTGCCAAATCCCTATTTAAAACTTTTACAGGTGTGATGCCTGTCAAGATAAAAAGTTCCCACAGCACAGAGCTCTGTGTAACAGTTGTTTACAGTACCAAGTAGCAATGTATAGCAGCTTAGAACGAGCAAAAAAGAAGAAGTCTGTGTCCTTCTGAAAGTAAATCCAAATGATGTGGCCAAACACTGCAAGTATGTGTCCTACAAAATTTTGGATCCACAGAGTACAAGACAACAAGAGTTTTACTGTCAAGTTTAACAGAACAACTAGCTTTGTATGTGTTTCTTCACCAGCCTTTCCTTCCTGTAGCCTCTTCCTGCAATTTGAAGCTTTTGAAAAAAGCAGAAAAGCAACTTTTAAAACAGCTATGCCGGCCAATTAGAGCACGTAGATAAAAATAAATAGGGGATTAGAGCAGTGCCCATCTGGTTAGAAGCCACTTAATAAATGAGGAAAGTTTTCACATCACAAACCAAACTCTTCAACTCTACCTGATATTGAATATCCTCCCTGCTCTCCTACTTAAAAGAGAGCCTGCAGATTCCTCTACATTAAAGCTGACAGATATATTAAGGCATTATTGTGTCAGACTTTCCCTGCTGATGAATGAGGTCTCTAGGGTTTTCAGTCATAACCTTCAGCCAAAAAAAAATTGATTGAAAAAATTGTTTTTATAATTAGTTATTAATTCATTATTGTAACTACCGATCAATGTTAAATCTGCCTTATGTAATCAAAGGAATGTCTTTCCAGAAGAAAGGAAGTAAAGGGGTTTGTAAAGGTTCTAGCTGATTTTTTGAAAAAGAAGATGGGTAGGGTGGGAACCTATAGATTCTTTAAAATATAGCCAGAAAGAACAATACAACATTCATAAAAACGTTCCTGCCTCTCAGGTTCAAGAGACAAAAAGCATGTTATTGTTCATCAGTTGTGAGTGCGACTGATCTGTTTTCCTTAGTCTGATTGTGTTTAACGTGGGTGCCTGAGGAGGTCACAGTGTCAGTTGTGCTGAACATGCTGCAGAGTTCTTCCATGCAGTGTGAGTCCTGTCATAGCCCAACACTTCTGCACTGCTACAGATGCTTTTCTTCTAGCTTCCTTCAATTATATTTGTCATCTCATAGTCCATGTCACTAAAAGATGTGGTGTCCTTTAAACTGGTTGTCAAGGATGACTGACTGTGCTGGTGGCTTGGCAGATTTCACCTAGCAGTGCTTTCAGCTTCCTTTGGTGTTGTTGATGCTATTCTCACCACTGTGATTTTATTTCCACCCCTTGCCTCTTGCTCCCTGCAGCCATCCTGAACCTGACTGGCACGGATGAGATTGAAGGAGTGTCGCAGAGTTCCACTATCTTACCATGCACCTATGTACCCTCACATGGCTTTAATCAGACAACAGTCGTTTGGACCATGGAGCGTAATGATACCCGTGACACTATCATTCAAAGAAATCTCACTGGTGACCACACTCCGCTAACTCAGTATAGAGACAGGGTCAGCATCCAAAAAGAAATCCTGGGCAATGTCTCCCTCCAGATTAAGAATCTTGAAATCCCAGACAGTGGGCGCTACACTTGCGAAGTCACCTGGACAGCCCATAATGACAGCCTGACAACGAAGAATGTGACAACTAAACTTCGAGTTGTTGAAGGTAAATATAGTGGTAAAATTTAAATGTCTTGTGAATGAGATGTGGTATTTAGTAGGAGAGCTGGATGCACAGCAGAAGTAGAGGACTATTTCTTTCAATGTGACTCCCCACATCCACAGGGTTAGGGGCAGCGTTTTATGGAGTCTCAGGGCTCTTCTTTATTGCACAAGTTCTGTCTTCTTCCAAATGGGCTTGTCTACACGTGCAAATAATCTGGGAGCAGTTTACTCTAGACTAAACTACTCAAGAGTAAACTCTCCGGGGCACATGTCTACACATGTAGGGATGCGGGAGTAGATTTCTTGTTCTTAGCAGCAGACTGTAGGCCTGTGTGAGGCGGCAGCGATCCGATCCGGCTTCGGATCCACCCACTTCAGACGGCCACGATCTGATCTGGAGCTCTGGACTGGGTCTCTGCCTCAACCCAGCCGAAGCAACTCCAAAGCTTGGGCGCTGCCTTGGAGATCCGGCCACAGGGTCTAATGGGAGAATCAATGAAATATCTATAACTTTGTTATTTTTTGTATGATTTGGATGAAACATGCGGAGATGGTAGCCTCTGCAGAGAGCATGAAATCTGCCAAGTTTCGAGAAGATAGATGCAGGGGTTTGGGAGGAACTGTAGCCCAAATTTTTGAAAGCCAAATTCATGTCATGTCTATGTGGTACACCACATTGGGGTTAAAACTGCCAGGATAGTAGCTCTTATTGAGGCCACAAATCCTACCAAGTTTCAAGGACATCGGTGCAGGGGTTTGGGGGGAAATGCCCCTCAAGCTGCGGACAAGCAAAACTCCTGCCATGGGTGACACTGTGCGTGTTAAAGAGCAGCGCGGTGGCAGCTGCAGGGATGGTGGCCCCTGCTGTGACACCTGCCAGCTGTGGAGGAGATCGGTGCAGGGGGGCTCTGAGGTGCTGCACCCCTAGCTGCTGACAGGTAAAACTGGTGCCAAGACTGTTATTGCCTGTGTTGAGTCTTTCCTCTCCTTAGCCTAGTTTGGTAGGTGCTAATTGATGCTCGTTAAGTCGTCATGTGGTAGCTAGGTCCTGTGTATTGAGCTGGTCCCTGAGTGAATCATGAGTGATTGGTATCTGGTAACACAGCAGCTTAGCAGCCAGGCCTGAGGCAGTGTCCCCCCTCCCCGCCCCGAGACAGACAGACAGTCCCACAGCACCCATGGCACGAGATTTGCTTGTCCGCAGCTTGAGGCGCAATTCCCCCCCAAACCCCTGCACCGATCTCCTTGAAACTTGGCAGGCTTTGTGGCCTCAGTAAGAGCTACCAGCCCTGCAGTTTTGACCCCCCTGCGTTGTAACACATAGACGTGACAGGAGTTTTGCTTTCAATAATTAGGGGTGCAGTTGCCCAAAACCCCAATACCGATCGTCTTGAAACTTGGCAGGCTTTATGCTCTCTGCAGAGTCTGCCATCCCTGAAAATGTCATCCACATCGGACAACAAACAACAAAGTTAGAGATATGTAATTGTTTCCCCATTATACCCTACGGTCGGATCTCCGAGGCGGCTCCGAAGCTCTTCGGGAAGCCGAACGAGGCAGCGCTTCGACCCGGACGTGCTGTCTCAGACCCTGAAGCATCCGAAGCTTCTCGGGATCCGAAGCTCTGCCCAAGGCTTGCACAGCCCTAGCGGACTGGTCCCGCTCCCTGAGGTCCTGCAAGTGGCCCCTGTGGCAGCCAGGGGGAGCTCTAGGTTCCTCCTGAGTGCTAGCCCAGGGGCCAGCAAACAGCTGTCTCTTGGCAGGGCTGTGACCTTGCTCTCTGTCCCCAGGAGCTGCCTGCTGCCAGAGCCTGGATGGGAACAGCGTGCCCTTGCCCTGGCAGGAGGGAGCTCCCAGCCCCCACTCCATGATCACAAGGCCAGAGTGGGAGATCCTTATCTGCCAGGGTCAGCACTGTGGTTGCAGGGCCGGCACCCAGCCTAAGATCCAAGCTTACAGGACCCAGGCTAGGAGATTCATATCCCAGCACCAACTCAGAGGTCACGGGCCTGAAGCTGGAGATCCCTGTCTTCCAGCATTGGCCCCATGACCGCAGAGCTGGAGCTAGGATATAAGGATCTCCCAGTGCTGGCCCCATGAACGCAGGGCTCAAGCTGGGCGATGAGGATCTCCTGGCCAAGGTCCTGCAACCATGGGGCTCAGGCTGCGGGAAAAGGATCTCCTAGCCCTGGCCATACTACCATGGGATTTCGTCTGGGAGATAAGGATCTCTCAGCCCTGGCTCTGCGATGGCGGAGTGGCGGCTGGGAGCTCCCTGCTACTGGTGCAGGGGGACATTGTCCCTCCTGGGCTCTGGTGGCAGAGTCCACCCTGGCAGCAGGCAACTGCCCGGGGTAGGAAGTAATCTCCTGCCCCCTGCTGCCTGGCTAACCAGGTGCACATTTGCTCCTGATCTGTTGTCTACACATGCACTACTATGCAGTTACTAATCACGAGTAAATGTGCTTTTTGCACTAGTAGGTAGCAAATTTACTTGCAATTAGAGCCAATTACTGCACAATAAGCGTTTGCACGTGTAGACATGGATGCTAACTGCACAGTAATTAGCTCTATAGTGCACTAACAGGTCTCCTGTAGAAACACCCAATTAGGAGGAAATAATTTAGGGAATGAGTTTCATGTCTGTGACAGTGCAGGGTCCAGTCCAAAGCTCTGGGGATATGCCCTTGCATAGGCAGAAGGAGAAAAAAAAAATTGGGGCGGGTAGGGGAGCTGAGCATGTTGCTCCTTAGCCTAGTTTGGTAGGTGCTAATTGATGCTCGTTAAGTCGTCATGTAGTAGCTAGGTCCTGTGTATTGAGCTGGTCCCTGAGTGAATCATGAGTGATTGGTATCTGGTAACACAGCAGCTTAGCAGCCAGGCCTGAGGCAGTGTCCCCCCTCCCCGCCCCGAGACAGACAGACAGACAGTCCCACAGCACCCATGGCACGAGATTTGCTTGTCCGCAGCTTGAGGCGCAATTCCCCCCCAAACCCCTGCACCGATCTCCTTGAAACTTGGCAGGCTTTGTGGCCTCAGTAAGAGCTACCAGCCCTGCAGTTTTGACCCCCCTGCGTTGTAACACATAGACGTGACAGGAGTTTTGCTTTCAATAATTAGGGGTGCAGTTGCCCAAAACCCCAATACCGATCGTCTTGAAACTTGGCAGGCTTTATGCTCTCTGCAGAGTCTGCCATCCCTGAAAATGTCATCCACATCGGACAACAAACAACAAAGTTAGAGATATGTAATTGTTTCCCCATTATACCCTACGGTCGGATCTCCGAGGCGGCTCCGAAGCTCTTCGGGAAGCCGAACGAGGCAGCGCTTCGACCCGGACGTGCTGTCTCAGACCCTGAAGCATCCGAAGCTTCTCGGGATCCGAAGCTCTGCCCAAGGCTTGCACAGCCCTAGCGGACTGGTCCCGCTCCCTGAGGTCCTGCAAGTGGCCCCTGTGGCAGCCAGGGGGAGCTCTAGGTTCCTCCTGAGTGCTAGCCCAGGGGCCAGCAAACAGCTGTCTCTTGGCAGGGCTGTGACCTTGCTCTCTGTCCCCAGGAGCTGCCTGCTGCCAGAGCCTGGATGGGAACAGCGTGCCCTTGCCCTGGCAGGAGGGAGCTCCCAGCCCCCACTCCATGATCACAAGGCCAGAGTGGGAGATCCTTATCTGCCAGGGTCAGCACTGTGGTTGCAGGGCCGGCACCCAGCCTAAGATCCAAGCTTACAGGACCCAGGCTAGGAGATTCATATCCCAGCACCAACTCAGAGGTCACGGGCCTGAAGCTGGAGATCCCTGTCTTCCAGCATTGGCCCCATGACCGCAGAGCTGGAGCTAGGATATAAGGATCTCCCAGTGCTGGCCCCATGAACGCAGGGCTCAAGCTGGGCGATGAGGATCTCCTGGCCAAGGTCCTGCAACCATGGGGCTCAGGCTGCGGGAAAAGGATCTCCTAGCCCTGGCCATACTACCATGGGATTTCGTCTGGGAGATAAGGATCTCTCAGCCCTGGCTCTGTGATGGCGGAGTGGCGGCTGGGAGCTCCCTGCTACTGGTGCAGGGGGACATTGTCCCTCCTGGGCTCTGGTGGCAGAGTCCACCCTGGCAGCAGGCAACTGCCCGGGGTAGGAAGTAATCTCCTGCCCCCTGCTGCCTGGCTAACCAGGTGCACATTTGCTCCTGATCTGTTGTCTACACATGCACTACTATGCAGTTACTAATCACGAGTAAATGTGCTTTTTGCACTAGTAGGTAGCAAATTTACTTGCAATTAGAGCCAATTACTGCACAATAAGCGTTTGCACGTGTAGACATGGATGCTAACTGCACAGTAATTAGCTCTATAGTGCACTAACAGGTCTCCTGTAGAAACACCCAATTAGGAGGAAATAATTTAGGGAATGAGTTTCATGTCTGTGACAGTGCAGGGTCCAGTCCAAAGCTCTGGGGATATGCCCTTGCATAGGCAGAAGGAGAAAAAAAAAATTGGGGCGGGTAGGGGAGCTGAGCATGTTGCAGCGCTTCCTCCCTGCAGGAAATTCTGGGGGTGAAGGGGTGGGGGGAGGGTAAAGGGCCATGTTGTGGGGAGGGAGTGGGTCTGGGACCAGGCAGGGATTGGGAGGGAGTGGAGCCGAGTTTGGCCCAGGATTGGGATCGGGATCGGGATTAGGGCTGGGGCCCGCTGTGACCATGCAGCTACCCCTTCCCCTGGGCTTGGGGTCGTTGCCCAGTGCCGGCACCCCCTGCGCAAATGAATCCTCCACCCCCCAGCCCCACACTTGCCCCAGCTGCCTCCCCACACCAGCCCAAGCCCTGGGCCCACATTGCCGAGGGGGGCCTGACGCAGGGCCCCCGGGACTCCTGTGCCTGCCCCACCCCACTCCCAGTCATCCCCGGGAAAAGGCCAACACAACCCTGGCCCCAGCCCACAGTGGCAGCTTGCCTTGCCCCGCACAGATCCCAGGCACACACCCCCATGACTTCTGGGGTGCGCATAGCAGCAGGAG